CGTTTATCAACTCATGAAGCTCGACGGAACCCCGATCCCGCGATCCTGGAACTCAATGCATCTCAAACGATACTACTATTAGATCGTCATCTGATTCAAAAAAAAAAGCCTCCAAACTACTTAGTTCGGAGCAAAACCTTTTTGTACTTAGAACTACGAATGGCTTGATCCGTTTTAAAGGGTACGTAAGCAGCTCGTTACCGAGTCCAGCTATAACATCAATAAAATTTTATTAAGTAAAAACGCCTAAGTTTTAGTTCGGTACTCACGAGATACCAAACTCCTACTTTTCTAACATCGACTTCCTGCCCAGTTGTTCGATATCATTCCACATGAATGCAGACTTAAAAAGCCGAGATCCGTTTCGCGAACACCCACATGGTGCCGTGGTAAAAACCACTTTAAAAAGCCGGGGCCAGTCCTGCAATAAAAATTCTAAGTCACCAAGAACAATAAGCCGAACCCATCTCGCACACTTAGGTTCGACTTAGAAAACCTTGAGCTCGTCTCGTGCGTTACAGGAGTTCGATCAAACTCACTCTTCCAATACGATACGACTCACTTGGGTTCCCCAGGCCCAGGAAGCGTCCAGTAAAAATGATGCCCTTAATCGAAATTTTTTTTTTGCAGCATATTTTTAAAGTGATTTGACGCCTAAAGCGTCCTATAAAAATGATGCCCTTAATCGAAATTTTTTTTTTGCAGCATAATTTTAAATATATATTAAAATAATATAAAATATCATTGAAACATAATTTGTTTTGAAAAAATTTAATTTTTTAAACTTTAAATCGATTTTTTTAAAACTCAGAATCGATTTTTTGAAGCACAGAAACGAATTTTTGAAGTCTAGAAACGATTTTTAAAAACTAAAATCGATTTTTTAAGCTTAAAATCGATTTTTTAAAGCCAAAATCAATTTTTTTTATAAAATATTTGAAAGGGATAATGACTCTTATTTATAGACAATTTTTCCTTCCCATTTTTTAGTCTTGATCGATGTGGGATAAAATTTTTACACATACTTATAAAAAAAAATTGGGCTTTTTTTGTTGCTCCAAAAATTAGAGCCTTATGGGTTGCCCTGAAGCAATTGCTTCATGGGCCTTAGGTGTGGGCCGGCCCTGCCCAGGCCGAGCTCAAATGCTTGCACAACAAGCCGAACTCCTCAGATTCGCACTATAAGCCAAGTTCTCAACACTTGCACATATAAGCCGAATTAACGCAATGCGCTACCAAAAGATAAAATTAAGCTCGAACAACACTCACTAAATACCGATCTACTACTTAACAGATTTTCGAAACAATTAAGAAAAAGATACTCCAACAAATAGAACGAACAAGCATATCATAAAGCCTTCCGAAAGACAAATAAGTTTGAAATATAAAAACCCACCGAGGGTTCAGAAATAAACAAAATATTACAAAAACATATAAAATAACCCATTAAAGGGCAATTGAGTTCGACTTAGAAAAAAAAAGTAAAAAGACTAAACAGTCTTAGAAGTCGCGGTTTGAACCGCGTTGAGTATCTCATCGTTCGAGCCGAACTGCTCGCCTCTCGCCTGATCCTGCGCGCTTCGAGTCACGTTCTCGGCCGGAACATCATCGCCATCTTCCGGAAGAGGAGACATCCGCTTATCTTCTTCCATGAGGACGCAAGCATCAACCGAACGAAATTCTTGCAGCGCCTTAGCATGCTTCGTCTCGATCTTGGCCACCATCTCGGGCAGAACTTCATACAAACCCTTCTTCTTAAGCTGTTTGATGAAGCCGAAAACTCCGGTAAGCTGGTTGACCACCAGGTAAGGCTTACGAGCCCGATCAGCATCATCCAAGCTGCAGATAACCTTTTCCAAGCGTTCGCAAGCCTTCGCGTGAACGCCCCTTGCTCGAACCTTCCAATGAGCCACTAAACCCTGCAGTCGCTCCTTATCTTTCTCGAAATCCCGAGAAAGTAAGCTCTGCGCTTCGGTCAGTTCGGGTTTCACTGCCTTAAGCTCCGAACTCTCCTGCTTCAGCAAGTCAACAGCGGTGTGAAGACTGTCATTTATTTGGAGCTCGGTGGCAAGACGATCCTCAGCCTTAGAAATCCGTTCTTTCAGCTTGGCGACTCTCACTTGCTCGTCATACAAAGCAACTTCATATGCCGCGACCAAGTTGTTGGTCTGGCTGGCGAGATGCGAAAAAGAAAATGCGATCAGAACTCATACTTGGGAAAGAAATAAGAAGAGAATAAGAACCAGGAAATTACCACGGCAGTTGTAGGAGTGATCCCTTTGTACAAATTTGGGAACCGGAGCTCGGAGATCGCTGGAAGACTCGGGACCTCAGTGGAGATCTTATGGTAGAGGTCGGCGCAGGCATCGACGTTCTCCTCAAAAGGGCCTTCCTCATCATAATCAAAACAAAGCTTAGTCCTCTTGGCCGGCTCTGGTTCCGGAGAGCCCTCGGCATGACCTCTTTCTTGCCTCTTCCGGGAGTTGGAAGCTTCAGGCTGATCCTGAGGAATCGCAAGGTCTGATGTCGCAGCCATCGGAGGATCGAGCTCGGCAGTAGCATCCTGCACCCGAGAAGAACCTTCAATCCTCTTAATTTTCTTTGAGGATTTCTTATTTTTCAGCTTCTTATGACCAGTCTGGTCAGGCCAGTTCGCAGCTGGAGGCAGTTCTTCAGGCTGTTCATTAATCCCTTCAGTGGCAGGGATCGGATTCGGAACTGCATCGTTCGGTTCCTCCTCGTCGAAGAGAGTAGGGATCTCGTCCAGCGTAAGCATCCTGGCTGGTCGAGCTCGTCTAGCTTGCGGCTTTGGCACTTTCCGTCTGGGAGCAGCTCGAGGCTTGTTAGCTCGACTCTTTGGTTTCAGGGGCTTCGGTTCCTTAACAGAAGCTGTAAAACACACAAGGAAGAGTTAGGAAAAACTCAAAATAAAAGGATAAAAGTAAACCTATTAATCAAACATGATTTCTTAGCTCGGCGCTGGAGTATTTCTTCCCAAGCTTCAGGCCAACGACGTTTGCCGGCTTCGCTAAAGGCAGCTTGGAATTCAGGAGTGAGTCTGGAATTGAGAAGAATGCTTGGGAGATGACGACCTGCAAAGATAAACCAAAAAGGAAGTTCGAAAAATATGAAAACGGAAATCAACGAAAGTACAAGATCATCTAGATCTACCAATCGGAATCTTCCATTCCGATTGAGTTGGGATGTCAGAATTGCTGACTGTGAGATCGTTCATCTCGAGAAAGAAATACTGGGATTCCTAGTCGTTATATTTACTGGGTTTGATCTCAGTGACGATATCTTTCTTCGGCTTGGCGTTCGCTGCGAAAAACCACTATATGGACTTGTGAATATTGACCGAAAAGAGATCTTCAAAGAGCCGAGTAGTCGGAGTTTCATCGAGCTCGGTACATAAGGTGACAAAGTCTACGTAGTTCGTCACCGACGCCGGCATCATCTGAGTAAGAGCCACGCCTCGCCGATTACAATATCCGAGAAGACGAGAGGGAATCGGAAGAGAGAGCCCGCATTGCGTGAAATAAGTCAAGTAAATGCAGAGGAAGCCTTCGGGAACGTCCCATGGCCGATCTCCAGCTTCAGGTATAATGAAGACGACTCTTTCTGAGAGCCCGTGGTCCTCAAGTACGGCCTGAACTTCCCTCGGAGAAAGAGAAGAAGACGGTACGTCATGAGGACGGACCACTCTTCGTTTCGGAATAGGCGGTGAGGCGTGATTCACCGCTTCAAGGTTGTCCTCGGTAACATCTACTTCGGCGTCATTCCCTTCAATATTCTCATCCTCAGATTCCGCAACTTCTTCGATTTCATGATTAACGCCATCAACGTTCGGTCCTACCTGAGCTTCAGTTTCACGAGTCTCTGCTGTCAGTTGCTCGGGCGCTTATATTCTCGGTCGAGGTCGGCTGCTACTTGCACCAGCCGATCTAGAATTCTTGCGGACCAGCTGTGGAGGATTACTTTCCCTTTGAGAAGAGTTCGGTGAAGGAGGATTTGAAGAAGAGGAGTTCGGCTCCGAAGATTCACGACAATCTTCCGGCATAATTTGATTAGAAGAAAAGTTGATCGAAGAGTTAGAAAATATTTTGAGCTCGGAGAGATGAATTCGAAGGAAATCTGATGAGACGGCCTTCAGAGATTTTCTTTCCTTATCCCTAATTTGTTAACTTTTGTGTTTTTTTGCTTAATAAGCTTAACTAATTGTCTTTTTCTCCCAAAACTTGCTTTATTCTTCGTTTATGAAATTATTATTCAATACGAGTAACGTCATCATATAAAACCATATGATAATAACAATAGTTATTGCTTTTTATTTGTAACATTAGTAGTTGGATTTGATTTGGATGTTCTGGAAGCATCTAAAAAACAAATTAAACAAAAATGTTCTCTAGCATATCTATATTAGCTATTTAAATTGTTAAATTTCTGCTTATTTGATTTTTACCCGCAATATCATTTTTTTCTAGTTTTCTTTCCAAAGAAAAAAAGGTTTTTTTTTACCACATACAGTTTCCCATTCTTTTTCTTTTTTCTATCACAATCGCAAATTCATAATATAGAAATATTACTTCTTCGAATTTCTCAAATTCTCCAAGAATTATGTCATCAATCTAATCTAGTTTAGACCTTTTCTTCAAGAACAGTGTCAAACATATAATGACATCCATTTTCTACAAAGACAGCTACGATTTTGGTTTAAATATTCAGACAGCACTTAACAAAAAAACGTCTAAACTATTAATTAAAATAAATGATAAAATAATATATTAATTACTCCGTATTAAACATTGAGCATGGACAAGGGCCTCTAAACACTATACATATGCGCTTAAATATTTGGGCTTCATTTATGGAAACTCGGCCCATTATAGCATTATACGATAGCCGTAATCTCCACGTTCGAGATAATCCGACTTTATTTAGATGACGTGGCATCACACCATGGATCTGAGCTCGTCATAACCAATAAATATACTACAGACCAGCTTCATGCCTTTCAAGCTCTCTTTCTCTGTTAAACTGATAAATCACGATCCCTTTTAGTTTTTTTCGCCGGCGATATTTCTCGATCCGATCAGATGGCAAAGGATCCAGTTCGTGTTCTCGTCACTGGAGCTGCAGGTAAACTTCATATTCCTCCGATCTAGTGTCTTCTATATTCTTGTATTGGATCTTCGCTTAGAGAACGCAAAAGTTATTGATTAGTATCGTCAGATCTTTATGAAACCACGAATTGATTGCTAATCATAGTTTATAGTCTAGTATTTTTGTGTTCTAGAGTGAGATCTGTATCGGATCTCTGTTTCGATACAATAAAAGTATAGTTCTCGCTCCAGTGTCGTTTGTGTGAATCCTGATACATGTGAGATCTAAGATTTTCTGGAATAAATTGTCACTTTCGATGAATCATATGAAGCATTATGTGATTTTCTGATGGATTTTTGTCATTTTGGGTTAAAGCAGCTTTGGTTTTCTTCTGATTTTGCAACCTTAGTTTTAGCGTTTGGTATGTAGTTTTCTGTAGAGATCATTTCTAACTGTGTTTCGACTATTTGGCAGGACAAATCGGATATGCTCTTGTTCCTATGATTGCGAGGGGAATAATGCTTGGTGCGGACCAGCCTGTGATCCTCCACATGCTTGATATCCCTCCTGCAGCAGAAGCATTGAACGGTGTGAAAATGGAGTTGGTCGATGCTGCTTTCCCTCTTCTTAAAGGTAAAGTTCAATTTTTTAAGAAGTTCTGTGTAATTGTAAATGTTTGCACTGATTTGATCGAATATGGTTTTGTTCCTCGAGTCTGGAATGTGATGTTGGCTTTGTTCCCCGTGACAGGTGTGGTTGCTACAACTGATGCCGTTGAAGGGTGTACTGGTGTCAATGTTGCTGTCATGGTTGGTGGTTTCCCGAGGAAAGAAGGAATGGAGAGGAAAGATGTCATGTCCAAGAACGTTTCCATTTACAAGTCTCAGGCTGCTGCCTTGGAGAAGCATGCCGCACCAAACTGCAAGGTGATGAATCTTTCAAATCTTTTTTTGCTGAGATAATTCTGTGTATGTAATCTAAAGTTAACCTGCGTTTTGTAGGTTCTGGTTGTTGCAAACCCTGCAAACACCAACGCATTGATCCTTAAGGAATTTGCACCTTCAATCCCGGAGAAGAACATCACTTGCTTGACCAGGCTTGACCACAACAGGGCATTGGGACAGGTCTCTGAGAGGCTAAGCGTGCCAGTTTCTGATGTTAAGAACGTGATTATCTGGGGAAACCACTCATCTACCCAATACCCAGATGTCAACCACGCTACAGTCAAAACTTCTTCTGGAGAAAAGCCTGTGCGTGAGCTAGTCAAGAACGACGAGTGGTATACAAACCTTTTAAAACCCCTTTGATATTCTCTGCCTAACCTTCGTCTATGCGATCCTAAATTTTGGTTGACTTATGTTTGTAGGTTGAATGGAGAGTTCATCTCTACCGTTCAACAACGTGGAGCTGCCATTATCAAGGCCAGGAAGCTTTCTAGTGCACTCTCTGCAGCTAGCTCAGCTTGTGACCATATCCGTGATTGGGTCCTTGGAACCCCCGAGGTTCGACATTCTACTTACTTGATTTCGAATCAGTTCATTGTTTATGTACTAAACAACTAAACAGGTTCTTTGATTCAAAATCTCAGGGCACATTTGTTTCAATGGGAGTATACTCAGATGGATCATACAACGTTCCATCTGGACTAATCTACTCTTTCCCTGTAACCTGCCGTAACGGAGAGTGGTCTATTGTACAAGGTAAAAATGATTTTCTTGAAACCAAAACTTAACCAAAGTGAAATAAAATGATGTTCTGTAGAATGTTCTGATGTGTGTTTTTGTTGTTGTTCACAGGTTTACCGATTGATGAAGTATCGAGGAAGAAGATGGATTTGACAGCCGAGGAGTTGAAGGAAGAGAAGGACCTTGCTTACTCATGCCTCTCTTAGATGGACCGGTTTTTATCAAACCGGTTTAATCAGTGGGAGATTGTAAGAGCTTTGTTTTCGAATAAAGAACTTTGTTATAAAAAGACACTTTGAATTAACCTCTTTGAGGTTAAGAGCACTACTTGTTTTCTCTTTTCTCTTTCTGATGTGTTCGCTGATTTTGCTGATCATATGAAAGCAGCATTTTGATCATTGATCTCTTTCGGTTATGACTTTGGTGTCTTTCTTCTCTTTATGTCCAAAGGCTTTGATTTTTTCTTACGTAACTGAAAAAGAACTTGAAATTGTTATCTAAAGTTTGAACATATGTTCCGAAACTATGTTTGGTTTTACTTTCTTGTCTAGATAGGGAAAAAAAACTGTTTAATACGAATGAAACGAAAAATGGGGAGAGTTTCTTCTTTAAGAGCAATTCGATTCAGCTCTATCAAGTTCATGCAATAATAAAAAAGATAATAGTTTAACATATTTATATTTTTATCATGTCTATATATCATTTAATTCAATCAATTAGCAAACAAGTATAATCATATCATAAACTATCTATCTATATACTTATTTGTATAGTGATATCATAAACTATCTATCTATATACTTATTTGTATAGTGATTTGCTGATGTGTTGCGCTCACAGCAAGTTTAGGCTACAAAAATACCGTTTAGCCCTATTAAGTAATTACATGTCATTTTTTAATCGGTTCTTAACTGATGATGTGTAAAAAAAACTTAAAACAAACTGGTCTAAATTATTATGGTCTAATGCTTAATTTTATGGTCAACCAAATCGTTTAAAATTTTTTATTAAATCAAAATTTAGAAAAAAAATTTTAATAAAAACGTTTTTGAAAAAAAAACAAAAGAAAATTTTCTATATCTCGTAGTGTTTACCATTTCTTATATTTCCAAAATTTTGATAAAAATCTAACAAAAATGTTAAAAGAAACAAAAAAAAATGGAATCCATTTAAAAAGCTATAAAATGTCATTTCAAAACAAACAAAAAACAAAATTTGTGCTAGAATATCGATAAATATTATAGTGTTTCCGATTTCTTAAGTTTATAGGTTTTTGATTTCTTATGGTTTAGTTTAAATATCAGGCACTTTTCTCTACTTCTCTCACAACTTTCAAAATTGTTTAACCTCTTCCTTCTTCTTCATTCTAACTACTTATTTGTGTAGTGATTTGATTGTGTGTCGCGCTCACAGCGAGTTTCACAACATTTTGCTTACGTATCAGCTCCAGAATGAGTTTTATCTGCAAAAAGACCGTTTAGCCCTATCAAGCAATTACATGTTATTTTTTATTGGTTCTTATGTGATGATGTGTAAAAAAACTTAAAAAAAAAACCGTTCTAAATTATTATGGTTTGATGCTTAATTTTGTAGTCAATCAAACCAGTTTTAAAATGATATAAAACCAAAATTTAGAAAAAAAATAATTAAAACGTTTATAAAAAACAAAAAAATTAAATCTATATCTCTTATGGAATGGTGTATAAAGCCCATCGACCATTTAAAAAAATTAGATCTAAGTTAGTGTTCTCGATAATTATGATATATAGGTTAGTGTTTACCATTTTGTCCCTTGTCGATATTCACATATCAACAAGTTTACATAGATGACTTCTTGAGAGTAGATCCAATCACTTTTTGTTAAATTGTCTACTTTTAAATTCTTCGTGCGTGGGATATATGATAAAGTGAAAAAGCTAAACATGTCCTTCATCTTCACAATCTCCTCCAAGTGTAGAGCAAATGCTGACCATTCTCCTGGTGTAGACACCATCTTCACCAACTCCGAACAGTCTGTTGCAAAAGTTACTTCTGTTTTCTGGTTCTCTAACATACAATGCATAGCCTATTAGAGCTTCCATTTCTGCATGCAGGGCCGTTAAATTTCCTTTTGTGCCCCCATTATTTTGTCCCTTGCACCTTCTTTAAAATAATACCACCACCCTTCAAAAGTAGATAATTCCGTTTCTTTCCAAGAGTCATCGATATAACACCACCACCCTTCAAAAGTCGCGGGTAATAAAGATATGTCCATAGAAATGTCCGTATTTATGGGGTCTGAGTTCCCTGAATCATGTTCCCGCCTTTGAGCCTCTTCCCATAATGCCGCTTCGGTCTCGCTATTTTTAAAGTAATTTGTGGATCAACATCAAGGTTCAAATACACTTTCTTATTGCGTGCCTTCCAAATATACCATACAATCCATGAGAATTGTATGTTGTTTATATCGTTTGGTATTTTTCAAAAAAGATGATCAAAATTTGAGTAAACTAAGGTCATTGGAAATACACCCGGGGGTGTTGGTATATGGGGTATTACCCAAGTTTGTAAAGCGGGGGAATATTCGAAAAGGGCATGGTTTATTGTTTCTTTCTCCGCTCCACATCGTGCACATTGTGTGTCACATTGTATTCCTTGCTTATTCAGCCTAGCTGGTACAGAAAGACATCCCGATATTGCTTGCCATATAAAGTATTTTAACTTAGGTGAGCATTTCAATCTCCAAGTATGTGCTTGTCGTACCTTTATATTTGGACAATAGTAGTCCTCTGAGCCCCCTATTTGATAATTGTCTTTCAGTTTTATACCCTGATTTAACCATGTATTTTCCAGATTTTGTGAAATGTCAGCCCAATTGATCAGGCAGGGCTTCCCAGATTATTTCCACATCAGCTGGTTCGATTATTGCTCTTATCAATTTCAAGTTTTATGTTTTTGTCACTGGATCAATCAGATGATTGACCATTAGATTAAGGTAGTAATTAAAACTCTTACAAGTGGCTGATCTTGGGCAATAAGAAGGTATCCAGGGATCATTCCATACTGAGATAGAACATCCTGAACCAATTATTTTAATTAGCCTTTTATTAACCAGAGATCTAGCCACAATGATGCTCCGCCATCCGTAAGACGGTGAGTAAGAACGTACAGGCTCCAAAGGGCCTGCGTTCCGATATCGTCCTTTGAAAACTCGTGCAAACAATGAGTCTGGTTTATCTATTAGTCGCCATAACTGTTTTGCCAATAACGCTGTATTAAAATCATTCACATCTCGGAATCTGATTTCGTCTTCCACTTTATCTCTGCACATCTTTGTCCATGTCAGCCAATGCATCCCTCGTTGATGATCATCTGAGCTCCACCAATATCGTGCCGCTGCACTATTCAATTTTCCTGTAGTAGACTTAGGTAACCAAAAACATGATATGACAAAAGTGGGCATTGCGGATGCCACTGACTTAATTAACGTTTCTTTTCTCCCTTTTGATAACAATTGCGAGGTCCAACTATTAATTCGAGTCTGTTGTCTGTCTGCGACAAAATTAAAAATCTTTGATTTGGCTCCACCCATGCTTTCGGGGATGCCAAGGTAAGATCCTGTTCCCCCTTCCCTCGCAATTCTTAAAATTTGTTTGATCTCATTTTGTACTATTTCAGGAACCGTGTGGCCAAACTGAACTGAGGACTTATCAAAATTGATTTGTTGGCCCGAAACGCCTTCATATCGTAATATACTTAAAATCTTTTGACATTTCTCCTTGGTTGCTTTGCAAAAAATAGACTATCATCAGCAAAAAGTAAGTGTGAGACTGATGGACTTGCCCTTGCAATTTTAAGCCTCATTAGTAATTTTTCATTCTCCGCTTTCCTTATATTTTAACACTTCCGTACATAGGATAAATAAGTACGGATAGCAGATCTCCTTGACGGAGTCCACTTCCCGGAATTATTTGCCCTTTTGGCTGCCCATTTAATAAAATTTTATATTGAACAGAAGTAATACATCGCATCATCCATATTATCCACTTTTTCACAAACCCAAAGCGTCTTAGTAGGTGTTCGATAAAAGACCACTCTACTCTATCATAAGCTTTGCTCATGTCTGTTTTAATTGCTATATATTTACTTTTGCATGATTTATTGGTCTGTAATCCGTGAAACATCTCATGAGCTATCAGTATGATATCCAAGATCAATCTTCCAGCCATAAAGGCGGATTGGGTTTCCGAAATAAGTTTGGGCAATAATTGTTTTAATCTTTGACATAACACCTTAGATATGATTTTATACCCAACGTTACATAGACTAATTGGTCGTAGTTCTGTGATCTTCGTGAGTCTTTCTGTTTTTGGTATTAGACATATATTTGTCATCTTCAGCCTCTCATCGAACACCCCGGTTTCAAGAAATTTGTTGACCAAATTCACAATATCTGTCTTAATTATTGACCAAAAGCGTTGGTAAAAGAGTGCAGTCATTCCATCTGGTCCTGGAGCTTTTTCGGGTTCATCATAAATAAAACACTACGTACTTTCTCTTCAGTAGCCATGCCATAAGCATTATATTATCATTTTCTGTGATTAGCGGTTTTATCTCTCCTAAACCTTCCTCAAATTCTACTGGAGAGGTGGAGGCAAATAAATCATCAAAATACTTGACTGCCACCTTCTCAATTTCTTTTTCCGAAGTGACCCATTCGCCCGCTGCATTATGTATGCCGATAATTCGGTTTCTTGCTCTCCGTTGTTTCACTTGTGCATGGAAATATTTTGTATTTTTATCCCCTGATATGGCCCATTGGGTCCAACTTTGCTGTTGCAAGAATAACTCTTCATCTCTATATGTTTCTTTTAATTTTTTAGAAATTTTGATCAGTTCCTCATTTGATCTCGAGTCATCATTTTGAATTTTCTCTAATGCCCGTTTTAGGTACTCAATTTTCTCCCGCCCATTTGGTTGAAGATTGTGTCTCCATTTTGTTATTTCTCGTCGACAATTTCTGATTGTGTCCACAAATAATAGTTCTTCCCCTCCATGATTAGTTCACAACCTTTAGAAATAGTATCCTTCTAACCATCTTGTCATAGCCATCTCTTGTTGAATCTAAATTGTGCCCTCTTGCGAGGAATTTTATCCATAATTATTGCGACAATCGGACAATGGTCCGATCCAATCATCACTAAATATTCGGCAAAGGACTGTGTAAATAAATCATGCCAATTTTCATTAGCAAAAGCACAATCAAGCTTACATCTAACCATCTGTGAATTCCGTCTTCCCCTCCAAGATAGTGTATTTTCTAAGCATAGAAATTCTAAAAAATCGCAGTCCCGTATCATCGTATTAAAAGACATGAAAGTAGATGCATGTCTTAAAGGGCCACCTTGTTTCTCATTATTCCCAGGTATCTCATTCAAATCCACAATTATTAGCCAAGGATCCATACGAGTGAGGCTTATTCTTGTTA